AGTAAAGTTGTGTTGGACTGGTTCTCAGCAGGCTGAACAACCCACTAGCTCTATCCTGTAGACAGCCCAAGAGGTGATCCGAAGGCAGGCTAATAACCCATTCAGTTTATAGTCTGATGTCCACTCCTATGGCATTGTGCTGTATGAGCTCATGACAGGGGAGCTATTTTACTCCCACATCAACAACTGAGATAAGATCATTTTCATGGTGGGCCAAGGGTATGCCTCTCCAGACCTTAGCCAACTATACTAGAACTGCCCCGAAGCAATGAAGCGGCTTGTAATTTACTGTGTGAAAAAGTTAAGGAACAGAGGCCTTTTTCCCCCCCAGATCCTCTCTTCCATTGAGCTGTTCCAATACTCTCTACTGAAAGTCAACCGGAGCACTTCTGAGCCATCCCTGAATCAGGCAGCCCACGTCGAGGATATCAATGCCTGCACACTGACCATGTCCCCTAGACCAGCCGTCACCAACCAGTGGTCTGTGGGCCACTGGTGTTCTGTGAGGTCCAAAAGGTTGGCGACTACTGGTTTAAGGAAACCTTTGGAGAAGTGGTCGCCAACCAGTGGTCCGCGGACCATTGGTGGTCTGTGAGGTCCAAAAGGTTGGCGATCGCTGCCTAGACTGCCTGTCTTCTAGCTGACTTTGCACTATACTCAGGCCATCAGGGGAGGAAGAGAAGTCAGCAGGCACCATCTTTCTGCTCCATTTCTATGGGAGCAGAGAACTTGTTTTTAGAGAAGCTCCTGCTAAGGACCTTCTACTCACAGGGCCTTACTTCATGTTACTTTCTTTTCTACCCTTTCTGGTCCTGGGAAAGGAAGCCATTTACAATGCTTCATCCATGCTTATGAGCTGAGCCATGGCTGCTGATGGCAATAAATGATCTGGGAACCTGGCCATTGGCTAGACAACTATTTTTAGGGCAAGAAAAAGCAATTGGAGGGAAAATAAAGGCAGGGAAAACAGCCATGATGGGATGACACGTGGATTTTGAGTATCAGTTCCTATGAGGAATGCTTATCAAAGGAAGGACTTTTTCTTCAGAGAACGGTGAATAGTGTGGCACCAAACAGATAGTTTTGCACATAATTCCCCCAACAGCCCAGGACTGTCAAAACCATGGCTGCCTAAAGGAGTGCTTTGGTACTATGGAACTTGAGTTTGGGGACCCTCCCTTTTTTCATGGAGGTCTCCAGGGCACTGGGATGGTTTTCCAGAAGAGGTGCCTGGCCTACCCTTCCAGGTCACAGTTCTGTCAGGAAGCAGCCTTCCATCATGCTGAATTTTGTCTTCTAAGAGTTGCCCGTATGGGGTAGGGCCATCGACCAGCTTTGTCTCTCAACAGTCATGTAATGTGTATGTAAGGAAGCCATGAATACAAGTTTTCTTGATTTGGTTTTTAATTTTGTTTTTATTGTGCCTGACAAAATACAGTTATCTGATGGTTCCTTAATTATGTTATTTTAATAAAATAAATTAAATGTAAAAAACAATACAAAAACAAACAAACAGGAGGATAACTTAAGGGAGCAATGGGACCTTAACATGAAACATAACAATATTCGAATAGCAGACGTGCCAGAAGAGGCAGAAAGGAAGGAATAGAGAATGTGTTTGAAGAAATAATGGCAGAAAAGTTCCCCAACCTGGTAAAGGAAAAAGTCACACAACTTCAGGAGGCACAGAGAACCCCAAGCAAGAAGAACCCAAACAGGTCCACACCCAGACACATCATAATTAAAATGCCAAAAATTAAAGACAAAGAGAAAAATCTTAATGGCAGCAAGAGAAAACTGTTACCTACAAAGAAGCTCCCATAAGGCTGACACCTGATTTCTCATCAGAAACTCTACAGGTCAGAGGAAATGGCATGAAGTACTCAAGGTAATGGAAAGCAAGGATCTAAAACCAAGATTACTGTATACAGCAAGGCTATCTATCATTCAAAATAGATGATCAAATACACATAAAAACCTTCCCAGACAAAAAAAAAAAAGGCTAAAAGAGTACATCACCACTAAGCCAGCATTATAAGAAATGTAAAGGAACTATTGTAATGAGAAGAACAGAGAGAGACCCAGGCATACAGAATTAAAATGGCAATAAATAAGTACCTATCAATAATAACTCTAAATGTCAATGGACTGAATGCTCCAATCAAAAGGCTAAATGGATACAAAAACATAACTTAACTATCCTAACATATAAAAAGCCAGAGGGGTAAACACCCTGCTGACTTCACTTGATAGATCTTCCAGACAAAACCTTAAGAAGGAAACAGTGACTCTAAAGGACACACTGAATCAGATGGATTTAATTGACATTTACAGAACATTTCGCCCCAAAGCAGCAGAATATACATTCTTCTCAAATGCACCTGGATCATACGCAAAGATGGACCACATGTAAGGACACAAAACAAGTTTCTACAAGTTCAAGAAGATCGTATCAACCATCCTCTCAGATCACAGCGGAATGAAATTAGAAATCAACTACACCCCAAAACATTCAAACACGTGAAGGTTAAATAGCATGCTATTAAACAATGAATGGGTGGGTTACCAATGAGATTAAGAAAGAAATAAAAAAACTTCCTGGAAACAAATGAAAATCAATACTCAACAACCCAAAATCTATGGGACACAGCAAAAGCAGTCATGAGAGAGAAGTTCATAGCATTACAAGCATACCTATTATGGTTGCCAATAGCCATTGTGGATGTTGAACACTAGAAACTGAATTTATAATTCAGTGCAGAAAGTTCTATTGGAGAGTACTCCTAATCATAAAAATATGCACAGGGAAACTTCTACATTCCAATTTGGGGTTGTTATACTGTATCAATAAATAAATCCTGGAAAACAGTAGAAACAAAGCATAAAAATATCAAACAAGGAACAGCATTTGTGGAAGTTTAGACTAACTCAAACAGCAAATTACACTTTCGGAACCACCAAGCTACAAATGGCAATGGCAACTCCTCAGAGGCAAATTTCCCATATGTTAAAATAGATTATCACTATACTGCCAGTTTCCTAAAGTCAGATGTAAAATTGAAAAAATTATCCTGTCAGTCAAGGACCTCATAAAAAGGTATATTTATAAACCATGACATCAAAGCACCCATAGCAAATATACAGAATAAAATCCCTTTCTAAACTGAGCTCTCAGGCAACAGGCACACTTAAAAGGAATATTAAATATATTTTGTTTCATCAGAAAAAAAAAGTTCATTTCTGCACTTCTAGTTCAAAAATTGTGTGTGCTTTCATCCTAATAGGTATAGGTTTCCGTTAATGCCCATTAACATGATACGCAATATCAGGAAACAGGTGCACTCTAAATTCAAATATTTTAGAATATTTTTAGTACCTTAAAAGAAACTGAAGGTGAGCACATTGAAAATGTGAATTATACATTTTTTTAAAATTAAGGAACCTAAAAACAACAAAAATGTTTGCCTCATATCCCCTCTCAAGCTATCACTGCAAATGCTTGCAGTGTGAATAACATTCTAAATATCAACAATAGGATGCTCTATGTTAAGAAATTTAAAATCAACTCTTTCCTTGCCAAAACTACTGGGCACCTAAAACTTTAAGTCAAAATGGCTCCAATTAAAGCATTTCAAACCTTTAAAAAGGTCACTTAAGGATATAAGTATTTGCTTTGGCCACATTAAATACTTTTAAATTCACTGTCTTTGTAATCCACTGGGGGGGGGGAAGGAATTCTAGAGAGAGAATGAAAACATGGAAATTGAAACCAGCCTGTAGGCAAGGTACCCAGCAGGGCCACATGGAATCAATCTGAAGGAGAAAGTTACTACTACCGCAGCATCTGGAGACAAATTAAACCAGGCATTATTTACATATTTCTAGTTGCGCACTGACCTCACGTACTTTCTTACGTTATACACAGACCCACCTAGGCCTTCACATCTACCTTAGTAAATAGGTCCTACCTTTAACTCAAGTCAAATGCTCTGAAGAATAGAATAACATTCCATATCCTTTTTTTCCCCATTGTTCACGAACCCTCACTGTTCGTCAAATCACTCCGATAAACCCATCTGTTCCCTCTAGGTGCTTCCAAACAAAAATTCTAGCAACCAAGGATGCCAGACTGTAAAACACAGAGTTTAAAAAGAGTTTCTGGCTCTACCAAGATACGTTAAGAAATCTTGGCAAATTAAGTCAAAATCCCTCAAACTACAATTGCCTCCGTTGTAAAAAAAAAATAAAAATAAAATAAAAATAAAAAATAAATCAGCACTACTACAAATCCACATCCGAGCAGGAATCGAGGATAGATTTCATTAAACAGGAACAACTGTCTCCGATTTGGTGCGCCCGGAGCGAAAGGTACCACACTTCTTCCCCATCCCACACTGGCACTTCTTCCCTTCGCAGCTTCCCGGGTTCGGGCCCAGGCTCCCCTTGGTGAGTGCTCCCCTGATCCCCGGATCCGTCCTGCCCTTCTATTGTACCCCTTTTACTCCAACTCCATACAACCCCCCCACCCCGCCCCAGGCCGCCCCTCACCCAGCACCCCACACCCCTCTCCGTCCCTATTTCCCAACCACTCCCCCTGCCCCCGGCTCCCCTGCTCTCCCCTTCATCGCCAGGTTCCTCCTGCCCCTCCAACCGCCCGCTGCCCCCCGGTTCCTTCCTGCCCCTCCAAACACGGTGTCCCCGGCTCAACGCCTCCTCCGGTCCCTCCACCCGACTTCCCTAGCGCCCAGCTCCCTCTCAGTCTCTGTTTCCTCCAACCAACCCCCAAAGGACGACTCCTTCCCATCCATTCTTTTCATCCTAGAACGTAGGACGCGAATGCAAAGCACCCACAGACACAGACCCAGGCGGCCGCCAGCCGCCTCCCCCACCTCGGTCCTCCATCTTTCCCTTTTCCACTTGCTTCCTTTCTTCTCTCCCTCCCTCGCCCCGCCGCCCACCTCCCCCGGAAGAGCCCGGCTCCCCAGGCCCAGGTCTCTCACCTCATTCGGTCACTTCAGTGGTGCCAACCGCTTCATACAGGAAAAACACAACCGATCCCGTCCCCGTGGGCGCTCCCCCTGCGCGTCCGAGCACTGGCCGGGCACCCTCCCCAGCGGGCACCCCGCGCCTCACACACGCGCACGCCGAGGTCCTGAGGACGAGCGACGGGGGTCGGAGCGAGCGTTCTCCCTCACACACACACACACTCACACACACGCACGCACACACACCGGCCTTAAACACAACCCGCTCCGCTATAGCCCTTCGCCATTTTGGTTTCCCGCGGACCGGCGGTGCATTCTGGGAGCGCGGAGCGACTCCCGGGCCGAATGGCAGCCCGGCGGGGCCGCGCGGGGGCGGGGCCTGCGCGGCGAGCGCGGAAGGACACCGCGCCCTGCGTCCCCAGCCGCCGCCGAACAAAGACGGACTCTTTAATGTCGCGGCGGCCTGAGTCCTTCCGCCGCCGCCGGCGTGAGCACAATAGTGAGCGCCGCGCTGCGGGCCGCCGGCGGCGTCTGGAGGAGAGCGTCGGGTCCCGTGCGCACAGTCTTCTCCGGGTGCCGGCCCGCTTCCTCTCCGGGGAGGAAACTTGACGTTTCTTCTGTCTTCACCCTGAAGCCTGCTGCTTGCATTCTCTTCAGCCGGCCGACGACCCAGGATGTCACAATTTTAAATGTATTCGGCGGTGATGGATCGGCCCCAAATTCTTTCTAATCGGGAGCTGCTTAGATAAAAGAGTTTTGGACTTTTCCCCCCACAGACGATGAAAGTTGGTTTTTGGTTTTTGTTTTTCTTGTTTATCTGCCTTGCCATCGTTCCTCATTGGGATGAAATCTGAGAATAATCCCGTGCAAAGTGGTTTATTTTAGGAATGCAAACTTTTTCATACAAGGGCAGACCTGCCCCATGTACTGCTGCGGGCAGGGGTCCCAAGGCACCAAGTGCACGCTTGTCTCTCAACTTAGAGACAGCACAGCTCCTCTTAGCAGCCACGCGTGGTCCCTTCGTTTATAAATTTGTCAAAATATTTTGTAAATTGACTTACGCTTTTTGTCTCATATTGCATCACAGGGATAATTAATACCATGCTTTTCCTCTCTCTCTCTGCAAAAATACCTCTTGTGGGCTGAACTTACTTTGCTCATATTTCAAAAGGGATTCCCTCAGCCTCTGATCTCGGGATTTAGCAAATAAACATTCATCTTATCGACACCATTAAATATGTAACATATTTGAGTCATACCCTTCCACCCTTTTGCTTCTCCTAATAGTCCTAATTAGATTTTAAGTGTTTTTCTTACCAGAGTCACAGCCTATTTGCTGCTTTTTAAGTTTCACTTTCTCTAAGTTGTATTATAACAATTTTTCATAAATTCGGCTTCAATGCCCTTCACACTTTTGGTTGAGGAAAGTTTTGACTTAAAGTAGGTGCAGCCCAAAAATAAAGATGTTGCACAAACAGGTATGTTTGCTGTGCAATTAAGCCTAATGATAGGACATCCGTTTGGGAGAATGTTTGGTGGAAGTTCTCCATGTTTCTCTCAAGTGGTCATCAAGCATCAACTTCAACATCTTCAGTGGTTCAATACCTCAGAGGCGGTCTTTAATCATTAGAAAATTCTCCCTTATATAGATGTACAATCTACCTTCCTATAATTTCCATTTACTAGTATAATTTTGACATCTTTAGCCACACAAAAGTATTCTAATCCCTTAAAAATCAGAGAAGTCACTGATCCCTATTTAAAAAAAAAAAAAAAAAAAAAAAGCTTGTTTTTGTGTGTAAACATATGACTGCAAAAGTGCCATCATTTAATCTAAGGAAACCAGCTGTTCGGTGGATCAAAAGCACTAAGGGAGTCACAGTAATATACAAAGAATAGCATTAGCTGGTTTGGCTCAGTGGATAACAGAATCAGCCTGCAGACTGAAGGGTCCCAGGTTCGATTCCAGTTAAAGGCATATGCCCAGGTTGCAGGCTTGATCTCCAGTAGGGGGTGTGCAGGAAGCATCTGGTTGATGTTACTCTCTCATCGATGTTTCTAGCTCTCTATCTCTCTCCCTTCCCCTCTGTAAAAAATCAATAAAATATATATTAAAAAAAAGCATACCAGTTACTGTGGTTTTATACATTTTTTAATTAAGCAACATGCAAAGGATTAGGACTTGAAGAAGGAACAAATGTCAAGTCTCTCAGAAATACAAAGCAAAACCACTCCAGTTAGAGTAAACTGTGCCTTTATTCTTATTATTTATCTCTGTAAGAGTCATTAGAGTTCACAAAAATTATGCTTGTTCTGTCTTCCCGACACACAGTAAAATAGCACTCCCTTGCACTCTCAAGGTTAAGCATGGCCATGTAACTTGCTTTTACCAATAAAACGGGAGGGTAAGTGATACCACTTCCTAGGAAAATTTTGAAGAGGCAGAGGCACAGTCCCCTCCCCGCTGCTGTGGTGACCATGGAAGCATGTGTTGATATAAAACATCTGTCACTTTGAGCCCCTAAGTGACAATAAGCAGAGATTAGAGTTGTGCAACCATCACCACAATCCAGTTTTAGAACATTTCCACACCCAAAAAATAGTCAGTATGCCCATTTTTAGTCAACCCTGTTCCCACTCCTGACCCCAGGCAATCTGCTGTTTCAATAGATTTTTGTTTTCTGGCCATTTCATATAAATGGACTAATAATAGATAGTCTTTTGGTCTGGCTTCTTTCATCCAAACAGTGTTTTTGCGGTTCATCCATGTTGTGCCGTATGTCAGATCTTTCCTTTATTTTGCTGGATAGTACTCTGTTGTATGAATGTACCATATTTTGTTTAACTGTTTACCAATTGATACATATTTGCATTGTTCCCAATTGTGGGGCTATTATAAATAATGCTGCTATGAACATTTGTGTGCAAGTCTTTGTGTAGATATTTGTTTTTATTTTGCTTGGGTAGATTCCTGAAGTGGAATTGTTTCATTGCATGGTAAGTTTATGATTAACTTTTTAGGATACTGCTGAACACTTTTCCAAAATTCAAGCCATGTGTAAGTGTTCTTATTCCTCCACATACTGATCAATACATACTTGTTATTGTCTATATTTTTTATTTTACTCACTTTAATGGGAGGGAGGTGATTTTTTCATTGTGATTTCAATATTTATTTCCCTAATGGCTAATGATATTGAGCATATTTTCATGTGCTTATTAGCTCTTCTTAAATCTTCTGTGGTAAAGCATCCTATCCAATAAGGAGAGAATATACTAATTGACCCACATGCCATCACAAAGATGGTGGCACCCACAGCCAATAAGGAGGGGATATACTAATTGACTGTCACACCCTCAAAGATGTGGCACACACCCACAGCCACAAGATGGCGATGCCCAGTCCCCTCAGCCCCCAGCTACCCAGGGCCAGCCTGAGGCACAGGCAAGCCTTGGATGGCAACTACTCAGCTGCCCAGGGCCGGCCCAAGGTGCAGAAAAGACTCAGATGGTGGCTGATAATCAGACAAGTCAGAAAAATCAAAGAAAGACATTCTGAGTCCTTACAGAGTTTACTTTTACTGGTGTGAAAAGGGAAATAGATCTCAAATATATATATATATATATATATATATATATATATATATATATATATATATATATATATAAAGTTTCCATAATAAATCAAGAGAATTTGTTAAAATTCTTTTCCTTTTTATCCAAAGCTTAAATATCCATATATAGCATGAACCTGCTTTTAAACCCAGTAATTTGTTGTAAAAAATATATATATATATAGTAATTTGGACTCTGTATAATATCCCTTAAAATATAGTGCACCCATTATCAATTTATTGCCTATCACTTTCAAGTCTACACTTCATTACTTGCTTTGTGAAAATAGATATGGTTCCTTTAAATTTTTTCCTTCACCAACTGGCAGAATGTTAAGCTTTGTCAGTGGAGAAACCATCTATAATAATAAAAGGGTAATATGCTAATTAGACCAGACATTCTTCTGGACAAAGCTGGGGCCAGAAGGAAGCCAACCAGGGTCCCGGATGCCAGAGGGAAGCTGGTGCTGGCAGCTGGGGGAAGGAAGGACTACTCTTGCACAAATTTTGTACATCAGGCCTCTAGTATGTTCTATATGTGAAGAATTGTGGTATATACTATTCAGCACAGATACAAGCCATAATAAGCAATATATCTACAGAGTGGGCTGGAGGGCTTAGAGTCTGAAGACAGTGACATAGGCAAGTAACTAAGATATAATACAAATGTATAGAGGTGTAAAGGGTGTGAGCTAGTCTAGGAATGAGGAAAACAGTAGAACCTAGAGTGAAAGATAAAAACAAGCACAGAAAAATGACTGTCTTACTGTGGGAGGACTCCTATGACAAGTGATATCGGTCAAGACGATTTTTATTACTAGGGTCATGATTGCAACCTAAACAAGCCTTGGAAGGGCAGAAACCCTTACTATGGTGTTGCCTGGAAACAAGGATTAGAAATATATCAGGATCCTCCATATTTCTCTCTCTCTTTTTCTCTCTCTGTTTTGTTTCTGCTCTCTCTGAATGGTGTTTTCAGTCCCTCCTTCTGTATCTGGCCTTCTCTACTTAGTGGGAAGCACTTTATCAAAGTTACATTTTACTTTAGGATCCAGTAGTTAAGAAAAGGGAATTTTTTCCCTAACCGTTTGATTCCAGTCAAGGACATGCACTTTAGTTGCAGGCACATCCCCAGTAAGGGGTGTGCAGGAGGCAGCTGATTGATGTTTCTCTCTCATATTGATACTTCTAACTCTCTATTCCTATCCCTTCCTCTCTGTAAAAAAAAATAAATAAATAAAAATAATTTTAAAAAATCAATAAATATATTTTTTTAAAAAGGGGGGAATTTTTCTCCTCTGTTTCCTTCCCTCATATCCACTCCTCACCTTTAGCATTCTAGCCTAAATAAATAAATAAATAAATAAATCACAAGGAAATATTCTGATGGGCTATGCTTGGATCAC